CAGGGGGGCACATGCCCCCCCCATACTCGCCCAGGAGTGCACACAGGGGTGGGAGCCGCCCTCCCCCCCAAATGAACCACTTGCAGGTCTGTTGCATGCCCCAACCTGCCTGGACAGCGCCTGTTGGTGCCCCTTTGCTGTGGTGCCCAGGTCAGTCACCCCACTTGCCCTCTCCCACCCCCTTTGCTATGGCAATAGCCATACACCACCCAGCATTGAACTGATCCACTACAAGACCCACTAGTGTCCAGGAGGAGGACCCTCATAGGTGCACAGTGGCAATATTGTGAAGCAGGTAAGATACTGGCTACAATGATTCTTTTTTTTTGCATCATTGGCTGATATAATTTGTATTTAGCAAATTTATGGAAAGCAAACAAAGTTCAAAGGTCTCAGTAAAAGAGTTACAGAAGCAGAGGCAACATTTGATACATAGTCCCTGTCACTGTCTCCTGTTCATGGACTGTAATTTCCCATTGTTTACCAGGCCCTCTCACACAGCAATGGGAAAAAGGCATTTTTTTTAAACATAAGAGGGTGACTATAAAGGCACAAAAAACTAGCACTGAAAGCTCCTCAAGCTTCTTTTCTTAAACTGAGTAGATTTCAAGTCCATGGCTTCTCTGAATTTAAAAACTAGAATACTTCTCTTATATTGATTGTTACATGCTTTTCCAGCAAAGCCAAATGAATCAGTGCTGAGTATCTTGAAATTCATACCAACCCAACAATTTCTAGCCAGTGTAATAAGCCCAGCAATCCTGCAGTCACTGCATGCAGACCTGCAGACCAAGGCAAACCTGCCACTGCAGACCAGCAGTCCCAGAGCAGCTCTCCAAAGGGAACCCACTCTAGCACCAAACCACTCTTGGGAATCAAGGACAGGCAAACTTATTCATTCAGTGTTCATAGCACATACACCAGTAAGAAGAAATATCATTAAGAAATCATTCAGAGCCCCTTGATAATGCTCCCCACTGGTGGGAGCAGTTGTTCAGCCTTCCTCCCAGCCTGAGTGGTTCTGCACTGACAGATTTTAAAGCAAAGACCTAACCCTCAACACAGAGCTTCTTTCTTCTGTGAGATCCCAGACAATGGCACGGCTAGTATCTTTCATGGTAGCCTCACTGCCTGTGGCTGAACACTTACCTAAGGGAAAAACTCCTCCCAGCTCTGAATAGATCCTTATCAATTTGAAAACAGCCATATAACTTTCAGAAAAAACAGGTAGTTATAGATTGCTCCCCCAGAGCCAAGGAAAGCAACAGCCCAACAAGTCACAGCAGCATCACACACAATAAGAGAGAAATCCCACTTCACCTTACCTGAAGAAGCCAGTAGCACCTTCTGTGGAAAGTGGGGATGATAGAGGAATGGACATAACAGCCGTACAAACACTAGGGAGAAAAAGCAGATGCTGAGTTAGTGAAGGAAATCAGTGCTCAGATGGTAACCTAAGTGAATGAGAAGGGCATGCCTGCTTCAGGGCCAGGTAGCTATAGTATATTATAGACTGTGTTATGTTGGCATTTACTAAAATCAATACCTGGAATAGATCCTGCTGGTAAAACGTAATGTCAGATTGAATTATACAAAAGCTTGAGAGTAGCACTTCATAAACATTCACAGGTTCCAGCATCAACAAACCAGACTTTCAAACCCTTCCCTGCTTTGCACTTTGAGTAAGTCAGCACAGCTGTCTCAGATATTTTGAAGTAGAAAATCCACATGGGACAGCAAGGAGAGAGTGATGTGTTACAGTGGACAGGGCACTTGGTGGGGACTCAGGGGACCTAACATCTAATTCCAGCTCTGTCACTGGCCTGCTGGGTGACTTCTGGCAGTTCGCATCACTGCCCTGTGCCTCACTTTCCCCACCTGTAAATTATTGATATTTCCACGTTATTAGTGCTATATGGAAACAAAGTGATATTATCATTTGCTCAATCATTATCAACAGAACAAAGAAAAAACACTCCTTTTTGTGGGTTTTTTGAGGCTCAGAAAGACATAGTTTCAGTAATAAGCTGAAAGGTTTTTGAAGTCAGTAAGTATCTGGGAAACTGAATTTGATCCTAATTACAGACCAACATAAATGTGTCTGGCCCTTTTATCCTAGGGTATAATAAACATACGCCCACCACACATGCCCAGCAGACAATTCCTCACTAGGACTGGGTGTATGAAGCAGACTTCTGATTTGAACCCAGATCTAAGATGTCTGAACTGAACTGAATATTCCTACCTCCAAAACACTGCTGTGGGGCAGGAGCAGCAAACAATAACTGAATTAATAAGGCAGCCCTCTATTACATAACAATTTATTTTAAGCTTCTACTGCTAAGAATCTCTTTAAAGATGCACTTGCAATACTAGAGATATAACTGGATTCAAATTACCTGCTTTCCTAAATCAGCATTAGAAAGCTGAAGCAATTGCCTTCAAAACCACTTATTAAGCTACCTAGATTTCTTCTAATAACCACTTAAGTGATAAACTACTATATTTACCCAAAGCTCAGTCACCTAGATAAGGTCAAAGCAAAAACGCTGCATTATATTAACATGAATTCAGGCACACAACAAAGAAGTTTGCTATGTACATCTTCATTTTTTATTTCAAAGTTATTCCTCTTCTTAAAAACAAAACAAAACAAAACAAAAAAAACCTCCCCTCTTTCGTTAATCAAGCTTTTTCTGATTAGCTGAAAAGAAAGGGAACACTGAGGCTAGGGGATTTTGGCTTCAGGAAAATCAGATTTCCAATATGTTAGAACCTTTAAACATTGTTGTCATTTGGGAACTATACCCAGTATAAACCAACCAACCAACCAAAGCAGAAATTAATTTAAAAGATCCCTGTACAATTCCTGTCCACTATATATA